TCTACCCAAATTCATTTCTCAATCTCAGTTGACTGTTGTAGCATCATGACATTACAATCAAGCAACTTAAAATCAGTGCCATATGGTTTTGTGCGCATATTAAAAACACAAAAGGCTGTGGTTTATTGCAGTGCTCAGTTCTGCCATGTGACAGCATGATACTAGAGTAGTTTCTGTGATGCACATTTTGCTGTATTATAACATTATGCTATAATATTGCATATTACACTTTACACAACAGTTCTGTCTGGTTCTCGAATTTGATTGCCTGTGATATTCTGCAATCTCAGAACTCATACAGCCTCTTCACCTGTGTGTAATACTCTGCACATAGAGTGACAGCAGATCCATATACTCACTATAGTTTGTCAAATCGTCACCTTGGAATTATAAGGGTCTATCTGCATTCTGAATGTTTTTAAGAAATTCAATTTGACAAAAAAAAATGTCAGATAGAACTTTATAATTCTAAGGGGATGTAATGTTGCAGCTGTTAGACAACATAATGTACTTTTGAGGCTTTTTTTAGGTTAGAATGTAGCTGTTTAGATTGAAACTATGCGATTTATTTATAAGGATAGTGCTTACTTTTTAAATATTTATAATTTCAGAGATATAGCGCATCTGGATCCATCAGCCTGTCATTAAGCAGAGCAAAGATGGTTGATATTGTCCTTCCACGAGATGGCAACAAAGACCGCATAATAAGCCTTTAGAGGAGAAAAACTTTATATAATTTTTTAAAAATTATAAACATAATTTATAACTACAGCTGATCAAAACATTATAAAACTGGTGAGTGACAATCTAAGTCGATCTCTCTCTTTTGTATGGTATAGTGCTGTATATATACCATAATATTTGTATTGTATTTAGTGTGAGATGGGACTCACATATCAGGAATGTATGTATTTTGTTTTGGCCACTCTTAGTATAAGCCTGAGTTACTTTTTGGTTGCACATCTGTACCCAAATGAGTCTCCGGTTTTCGTTACTGCAGACTAGTTCAGTAAACAGAAAGAAAGAAGAAATGCCCGCATGTGTTCAGCATTTTTCTTTATTTTAAACACAACAGTAATCTGGTAGTGTTTGCGCTGCTTTGGCTTTTTTGGGGTTAATTATTGTGATCTCCTGATTGCAACAGAGAAACACTGGGAAATCTCTCTAGAATGATGGCATTATATTGAAATTTCATTTTCATTGCGATGGCATCTCAAATGTCAGCAAAATCGTCTGTTTTTGTCATCACTTTAGACATTATGCTAGAGAATCATTCAAATACTAGCTCTAAAGTAATGTTGGTAAATGAGCAACAGTTTCTGCTGTCCTGGCGACGACTGCAGGTGTGAATAAATGGCGGAAGAAAGTAGTTCCTCATACAAAAGGGTTTTTAGACTCTCTGTGTTTGATTTTGTTTTTTTATACACACAATTATGCAGTCGAACTGTTATAAATGCAATATCACACTCAGAGCAATGAGAGATGACTGTATATCGGAAGGGTGGGACACTAAGGCATGCCTCCCACCAGTGCCGATAAACAGCCATATCGCACTGCTACTCGTGTGCTATTGCTCATGTATATAATATCTTGAATATTATACATAGTATACCAAAATACTGTAATATTTAACAATATTTAAAATCATCATTTCATACAAAAAATCATAATAATCAAAGTAGTTCTGCATTATTGTAATTATTATTATTATTTGGCATTTTGTGTACTGTAAATAAAATTACATTATACTACTACTAAAACTATTACAATTAACAATACATTTCTTAAATCATAATGTGAATAGTCTTATTAATAATATTAAAATCTTAACAATAATAACAATAAAAATTAATATTATTTAATACTTACTAATATTATTATAATTATTATTATTATTCAATTTGATAATTAAATAATGTCATAAACAAAAAAGACAAAAATGACAAACTTTTAACTAAGTTTGTTTACCCCCAGTTTAATGATTTCATTTAAAGCTTTTTATTTTTAAAATTTTCTTCCTGTGGAATTTCATAGCTTTTTGTTTTTCAGGCTTGAATTCTTGAGATGTTAAAGATTTCATAGTGTCCAGATAAATTGCATTAAGCATTACTTTTTTACTAAATCATACAGCACTAACTTTGATAGTCTCTCTCCATCTCTTTTTGTTCAGGAAGTTGAGCACATCCTGTGATTCTACCTGATTGAACTTGTCCTTGAGCATATTTCCTGTTAGATCGACTTGCCTCGAACTCCCTCCCACCTTTTTTCACCCTTGTCTGGCCTGTGTAAATAAGTCATCAATGGCGGAGGAATCGCTGTGCTATTCAAAAAGAGTGATGGCCGAGGAGAGGAAAGAAGAGTACAGGTGCTTATTAGAGGGGCGGAGAACATAAAAAAGAGAGAGAGATGTAGAACTGCTGAGACCTGCTTCTGTTACTTCCAGCTGTAATTACCAGAAACGTTATGCCCATTCAGACTCAATTCAGGCACGTGGCAACTCACACTTTTTGAATATCCAGTCTCAAGGTCCTTACACATGGAGTCCGAAATTCTCTTTAAACTTTTTTGTATGTTCAAAAAAAAAAAGAAAAAGTCCTCAAGATGTGAACTTTCATCCACTGAAAGAAATAAAAATAAAATAATAAAAAACATTTCCGGGTGAATTGTCTACATCTGTACAAAGCATGTTGAGAGGTGTTTTGACAAATTAGAGCCACCGTACAAGCAAATAGTAATGCTGACTTGTAACTCTTTATAAGTGAGATTGGTCTGGAGTAAGTCGAATTGTGGAGCCTATGCATTTCTCTGTAAATTATTTTTGTTTCATATTTAATTCTATTTATTTCCTTATGCTTTCTGGATGATGTTGTATTATGTTGTGTCCGACTATTTGCGTATTTTGAAATGGCCTTTGTAACCCCCCCTTATTTTTTTTTTATTTATTTTTTTTTGTTTAGGTTATTGATTATTTCTTATGCTAAAAACAATAACAAGATTATTTAAAAAAAATCCAAAATGGGGTCTGGTTTGATTAATTTTATCTCGCAACACAAAGAACATTTTGACAAATGTCAAAAGTGTGAAAAAATAAAATACAGACAGTTTGGCAGTGGCGTAGCGGACGGGCCCGCAGGGCACGCACCGCGGGGGGGCCCCGCGTGATTAGGGGGCCCCACGTCGTCGCGATATTCAAAAATTGAAAATCCAGGAACCGCAATAATCAAACTCTTGGGAACAACTGTGGACGGAACCAAAGTTCACAGGTCTGTGTTCTCCGAACACCTCTCAAGCGGTGGACTACTTCATTCTGATTGCTTGCCGCCGAACCGCGTCATAGCCAATGAAGACGCGCCGCTGTTTCTCGCCGCCGGTTCTCGTTAAAAAATGAATGGGTTGGCTTCTGGCTACTTTGACGCTCTCGCCGCTTTCGGTTTGTGATCGCTCCTCAGTTTGTGAAGGATTCCCCGCGTTGTCGCTCCACTCCGCCTCCTTTCCCCGCACCTTAATTTGTGACATAGATATATACACTAGATATTGTATACCCTGAGCATGCGTCAATAGCGCCGCCACATTGGGACAGTGCTTCTAGGACAAATGTCATTCAGTCGCACTAGACAATTACGTGAAGATGCGGGACTGTAGCGCTGTCTACGAGTGTAGTAACGAGCAAACAAAGAAAACAAAGCACAAAGGCAGAACATTCCATTGGTAGGATTAAGTTTTTTACGTTTTTGTATGTTCTGAAATTTGTGCTAAACAGGTAGCGTTATTGATACTAATACAGCCACTTACTGCATTCACTATAAGTCAAAGTAGCTCCAATTCGCACTACATACTCGGCTTATGCTAGTTTTGTTGAATAAAATCAGCAAACAATGAAAAAGAAATATGACAACGAGATGCTGCGGTGCCAGAAACTTGTATTATTGTCGGCTAGTGAAGGAGTCGTTGATAATGGAGATTCATTCACAAACAAATCGCTCCCTCCATCAGTATGAGAAGTGAAAGCAGGAGAGGAGCTGTGTTTCAGGACATGATTAGATCAAATTTAACAGGGAGGGTGGATAGTACATTTCTGTACACAAAAACACAAGCTTTTTGTCAGGAATGCCCATGCGGTCACTGATCCATCAATGTAGAAAAGTGATGTAAAATTATAATTTTCATAATTGAAATAAAAATAAAAATACTAACATCCAGGAAAACTCCCGATCATAGATATATGTGTATATGTGTATATCTCTGGCTCTGCCGTCCCCAAACCCCCCCGACCCCCTTGAAAACTGGGGGCCCCATCGGTGATCCCTGCAGGGGGGCCTCCGCATTTTGCGCTACGCCACTGCAGTTTGGAGTCCAACTTAGATACCAAAGTAGACTTTTGAATCATTACAAAAGTTTCTGACTCAGTGTATGGACAGTGTATGGAGTTAATTCTTGAATTAGCCAGAACTGCCACAATGCTCACTGAATAATAAAATAAAATAAAATAAAATAAAATAAAATAAAATAAAATAAAATAAAATAAAATAAAATAAAATAAAATAAAATAAAATAAATAATAATAATAATAATAATAAAATAAAAATGTATAAATAAATAAATAAGTTAATTAATTAATAAATGAATACACCTAACCTCAGGCCAAAAATGAACAACTTTAAATTCCTCTCTTTAGTGTCCATTTTACTGTAAATTTACAATTTTCATGCCCAGATGAAGTAAAATGAGCCAGCAAAAATGTAAAATGAGCCAACAAAAATTATCATCAGATCTGACACGCACTTATAAGAAACAGAAAGAAAGAAAACAGTGACATCAATCAATCAATCAATCAATAAATAAATAAATAACCTCATCTGACCGAAAACAAAAAACATCTTGTCTGATTGTGTGCTTAGATTAAGTGAGATTGAAATGCCACCTTGCAGTAATAAAAACACATAGAAAAGGGAGGAAATGAGAAGAGAAAAACACCAGAGAATGACAAACGGCTCACTCACTAGTGCAGGAGACTGAAGGGGGGTCGGAGAGGGCTCTGTAGTAGCCGTCCTCACAGTCACATCTCCACGAGCCCTCTCTGTCATTATAACTGTGTGCGGGACAACGGGAACACTGAAGATCCTGAGATGAAGACTTGTAGAATCCACGACCACAGGCTGCATAGTGTTGGAGAGAAGTAAAAGAATTACCATGTGTTCACATTTTAAAATGATCTTGTGTTTGGATCAGATTTCTCTTTTATAAAAATTTTATTAAATAGAGTGCTAATGGATACCTTTAGATAATCATGTCCATGTGTTTATGTCATGAGTATTTATTCTAACCTAAATTCTACTCATTAATAATATAATATAATATAATATAATATAATATAATATAATATAATATAATATAATATAATATAATATAATATAATATAATATAATATAATATAATATAATATAATATAATATATACAAATAACACTTTATATAGTATATAGTAACACTATATATAGTAAATATTTTTTTCATTTGTTTCTGTTTTATTATTTCTCCAAAGGCATTTGACCAAAAACTTGATTGAAAATCCTGATAATAACTTTTGAACCCTAACATTTTCTTCCAGGCCATAATAGCACACATTCAGTCAGTCATATGTTGCCTCAATCAAAGGTCTAACATCCCTGATCACCCTGAAAGCACTAGCACGCCTTCTTTCGCAGCACCTCTAGCAGTCAGAAATGTCCTAGAGGCAAGGTTACTGTGGAAAATAGGAAACTTAAATGGATTATTTCAGTATTTCACCTTTTATGAGGGGAAAAAAGGACATCCCACCGGCAGCCAGGGATCAGAGACAAAGCAGAAATTAGGGCCATATCGCTTTGGGCTATGCACAAGAATCACCCTCGCACGTCCCAATGACAACGAGTCATTTACTCCCACACTTTATTTCATACGCCCATATGGGCTGAATTTCCAATGAAGCACTATCATCATATATTACTATTTGCATTATAATTAGACAGCATTAAACGCCTAATGAAATGATTTTTTATTCTTGTATTGAGTTTTTCCTGCCTTTATTATTCATCACATGGAGCTTTTGTGTTAATTAACCTTGTGAAAAGAAGCGAATCAAAAAAAAAAAAAGATAGAGAGTCTGGGGTGACTCCAAAGTCCGAGGTATTTTCCTGGTTCACATCAGTAAGCAAAGAGAAATAAGCTATTTTCGGTTTGGCCTTTTGGTCGGCACTGCTGAGAGATACTAATCCACACTTAGCAGCTGTTTGCTTAAAACCCCCTTCAGCCTAAAGAAGGAATCGGGCCCACATGATTTTGCTTAAACCCCAGCCACGCCTGTATCCCCAGGATAAATATTACTTTGTTCACAGCTATGCATTTTAATCATTATTACCAGGGACGCGACACTACTGATTTTCAATTCCAGACTCAGTTTTTAGATCTCAGTAGTTGCATTGTTGATTTAAAGCCTTCCGAAAATGGACGAAATGCTGCAGCTTTCCGTGACAGGACTAAAATGGAGATCGCACAGGAGGTCGAGAGATTTCCTCATTTTAAACATCACCTTGTTGAGATGGAGGGTGGCTGAGCGGTACGGTATCCCCATTTCAGCTACATGAAAGCCCTGTCACTGCGTATTTAGCTCAGAAGCGTGGCATGGTGTGGCCGTGCAACGTAAAGAATAAGAGCCTTCTGAGGCAGAGAAGTGGAGGAAAGGGATGTGATTTTATCTGGGATCTTTCTCAACCAGTGAGGACTTGTAATTGAAAGCAGCAAGTCTAGCTCGTGCTGTAAAGAGGTGGTGCTGGCAAAGTTTAATGTCAAATAGGTATGAGACGATAATAGTTTTTAAGGTCTAGCCCGGTTTGGAAAAGTCAAGGTTCAGATTCTCATTTAACACGTTTTTTTTTTTTTTTTCTAAATCAAGTTTAGTAGCGCAACATGATAATGTTTGGTTGATTTTTTTGTAAACCAACAATGCTTTGTGTGTAAACCATTATTTATAACAGTCATTCTTTAAATTACATTGGGTAACACTTTATAATAACTACACCCCATGAATCATTTATTAAGGATTAGCAAATAATGAATTCATTATCTTTTAGGCATTGACTCTACATTAATAAAGCATTAATAAGCAGTGTATAATGTGCTGAATAATTGTACTTTCATACTTTGTTAATCATTTTTTTCTTTAATAAATCAAGTATTGCATTATTTAAAAACCAGTTGTTTAAGCGTAGTTGGTTGTTTTTTAAGATCATTCATTATTCATTAATAAGATACATAAACATTGATTTCAATAGTTTATTAACCATTTGCTTACTCATGCTGAATTATCTTAAAAACCACCAACTACTCTTACATAAAAATTGGTTTGTAAATAATGTAATACTTCATTTAGTAATGAAAAATAAATTATTAACAAAGTATGAAAGTACATTTAATAAGCACAATATATATGTGGTTGTAAGTCAAGAATACAGCATTTGTAGCAGCAGATAATGAATTTACTAGATGCTAATGTGTAGTAAATGATTCATAGCGTGTAGTTATTATAAAGTGTTACCTTACAATGTTTGAAACTGTCAAAATATGGTCAACCATTTGGTAGCGCAGGCAGTAAAAGGGGTAAAGTGAGAAAAGGTAAGAGAAAAAAAGGAAAAGAAAAAATGAAAAAGAAAAGCGGCTGGAAATGTAGGGAAAAAAGAAAACAAACTGTTAAAGAAAAGGTTAGAGAAGAAAGAACAGGAAAAGATTAGAAACAGGAATGAGAAAACAATAGCAAGAACTTTAAGAAAAGTAGCAGGGGGAAGGAAAATAAAGAGAAAAAAGAACAGGAAAAGGGAAAAAGGAAAAGACAAGAAAGGTCAGGTAAGTTAAGGAAAAGTAATGGGAAAAAGAAAAGTAACCGATCAAAGAAAATGCTAGCAAAAAGTAAGAAAACTAACAGAAACAAAACAGAAAATAAAAACAAGAGAAAGAAAAAGAACAGGAAAAGTAAAAAGGAGATGGAAGAAATAAAAATAAAGAAAAAACATTTCTCTAGTATAAGCTGGTGTGTCTGTTAGCTTTAGCGTGAGCCGTTGTGTATGGGGAAAAGATCCCGCCTGAGCCTGAGAGCTCAAGACCTGGCCACGGGCACTCAACGGCTCTCTGGTGAACACGCTAAGATTAGCACCATCACAAATCACCAAAACAGGAGGACTCTCCACTGCCGACACGGCTGCCTTTTTACGTCTCTGAAGTGGGGACGGTTTATTTTTACATCCGCACGATCAGGATTTGTTTATTGCCGTGTCTGAGAAGCCAAAGTATCCCTGAGTTGTTTACACAAGCAACCAACCAGCAAATTAGGCCTCAAATCAAAAGTAGCGCTGACACGGGGGCCCGCCTGAGAATCTGCCTCCTCTCCACCTCTCTGGCTTTACTATGAGTGACATGCACAAACACTGCCATTTCTGAAGCCCAAATTCCTGCCCTCCAAAGCCAGACGTGCAAACACTGGCAGTGAACTAGCCAAAAAAACATGCTGTAGCATTGTGCTAACGCCACCAAGGAGATAAATGATAGCTTTGTTTTCCCCCATCCTGACAGCTTTATTTCTGTGGGAGAAAAAAGATGAGGCTTGCCCAATTATGCCTCCTTCTGCCATGCTGCATAATGTCTGCTAGCATGTAATCATGACTGAATTAGCGCTACATGACCCCGTGTGCCAGCGGCTCTTGAGAGCATGGTAACCAATCTATGAAACTGACACTGAGACGATATCCTCCACTTAACTGCCCATTTCTGCTCTGAATTGAGAACATGTCTTGCCAACAGAAGCGCCTGGCTGCTAAAATGCGAAACGGAACAGAGAAACACTAGCTTAGGCGGGTTTAAAAAGTGCGCTGAAAGACTTGGCTTTATTGGAGCTGCCACTAGCATGAAGGCGAGCTAATGGGATGTGCTTGTTGACATGGACACGCAGAGCAGGCAACAGCAACCTCATTTACTGCACAAAGAAATTAGTCGGGCCCCTTAGAAAAAGGGAAAAAAACAGGTTGATGTTAAACAGAATAACAGAGAAAGAGATTAAAACAGCCTGACATTCCTCCCAGAGTCTTTAGCAGGCGGCGGGTGCCAGCGTCAGTAATTTACCTTTCAGTGGTCAAGCCCTCTGGTTAAGCTAAAGGGGGAAAAAACAGGTCTCTCTGCGCTTCTTACATGCCACTGATAATGCAGGAGGAATTTGCTATTAATGTATTACAATCTCTCATATGTATTCTGTGCATAATGTAAATGATAACAGCATCCAGATGATTGGCGCAATAAGAGTGCATAATCTTTTGAATGATAGCGAGTTTGGAGCAATTAATCCCTCTTGATTTTTTAAAGACGTATTAGGATTTAATAGCCACCCAGAGGTAAAATTCAAGATGATGTCCAGCTGAACTGCACAGACTGCTGACTTGTCTAAAATTAGCGTATTGACTACGGAATTCTCAAATAGTTCTCCCTCTGGGGAGGGTGAGGAAATGTCCTAATCACAGGCTTTCCTAAAGCGAGTGCTGGTTTTTCTCTTGCTCTCGCACTGTCAGTTGTTTTCTCTTGTTGGTTTTCTTCCGATGAATTTCCTATAAACCTCCAGCTTGCCCTTTTTAGACCTCAGTATATTATTGTCTGATCTCATTCTATGTTCAGAATGGAAAAGTAGTTTGCTACTTACGGAACACAGCACAATACACACAATATATTCCCTAGTGAAAAGTAAGTTTAGTTTACTGTGTGCATTACTATAGAATGTAGAGCTGAGTTAGAATCATTAGCCCCCATGTTTATTTTTCCCCCAATTTCTGTTTAACGGAGAGCAGATTTTTTTTAAACACATTTCTAAACATAATAGTTTTAATAACTCATTTCTAATAAGCGATTTATTTTATCTTTGCCATGATGACAGAAAATAATATTTAACTAGATATTTTTAAGACACTTAAATACAGCTTAAAGGGACATTTAAAGGCTTAACTATGTTTATTAGGTTAACTAGGCAGGTTAGGGTCATTAGGCAAGTTATTTTATAATGATGGTTTGTAGACTATCAAAAAATATATAGCTTAAAGAGGCTAATAATTTTGACCTTAAAAAGTTTTTTTTAATAAAACTGCTTT